CGTCTACAAAGCTAACATTCAACATTTTTCTTCAAATAGAATCCCTTTTTAGCATTAAACATTTTTTTTTTTTTTTGAGACACAAATATGCAGTTCTCTATGCAGTTCAGACTGGCCTCAAATTCATGGCATTCCTCACACATCAGCCTCCGGGTGCTGGGACTACGGGTATGTGCAGCCACATCCAGTCAAACATAATTATTTTTAAAGAAAACAATGTATCATTCGAAAAACCAGAAAATCCATTCCACTTGCTGTATGTAGATTAAAAACTAAAAATAACAATAAGGGAAATAAAATTTTATTAAATTCTAGCCAGATAAAAGTGCCTGTTGAAGACCCGGGATCTGAAACTTGTTCTTTCATTAATTAGAACAGCAAGGCCAGGGAGAAAGCTCAGTAGAATAAGCGTTTGCCTGGCAAGAGCAAGTTCTTGAGTTCAATCCCCGGTGCCTCAAAAAAACAAAAAACCAAAAAAAAAAAAAAAAAAAAAAAAAAAAACAAAGGAAAAGGAAAAAAAAGGAAACCCTGCCAAAGCCAAGCCTTCCCCCTGAAGGAAAAAACGGAAAAAAAAAACAAACGAAGGGCCTTTTTCCAACAAAAAAGAAGCCCAAAAAAAAATCCGGAAAAAAGGAATCCTTTAATAAATAAAAAACAACCGCGTTCCCATAGCAACCGTACACACTTGAATCATGTACTGTGCACGGTGCTGCACGGCACACGTGACTGGAAGCACGCGATTCACTGAGGTTTTGGCAGTGGTCCTTTGGTCAGCATGCTTAAAGATTAAAATACTTGAAGGGTGGCAATATGGCATGGAAATATATGAAATAATGAAAAAAGACATTCTTTTAGCATCCCCCCAAAAGCAAAAATCTGTCAAGAATTTTTATTGAGTTTAAATCACTTTTAAATGATTAAACAGTCAGTTCTAATGCAGATTATAAGCTCATACTGTTTAAGTTAATGAACTAAGACTCGTCAGTCAGAAAAATAAATAACACTGGGCAGAATGAAAATGCCTAAAAGAGGGTGATAGATGGCCTTACTATGATATTCAGAGAGATCGAATTCAATTAGACTCACTTTCTAAAACAAATGTTTGATTTCTGAAGCAAAATTTTTCATACCAGACATAGTTCAATGGTATGAAGCAGAAGCATAGGACAGATCACGAGGGGCATAAGGCTGATGGATGTTCTCACGCATTTTATTCTATAATGAGAAAACATTTGTTGGAGCGCTCCTTATAATTTCCGTAAGATGCAGACTTACTAACATTGTTTTTTGAAGGCTGCATCAGTGTGTTTGTCTGCTTGATGCTGTTGAGAGCTGTAGAATTGGCGACAGCCTAATGCTCTGTGGGTCCTGCTGAAAAGCCCGCTGAGGTGTTCGGCTCTATCAGGGAGTGGGTTATAACACATCCACTTTCCTTTCAATGCATCAGTGAGGAAATCTCCCCCACCAGGAACTGAAAGGCTTTAATTTTGTGAATCATCAAAGCCTTTTTCTTATGTGTGGTGTACAATAACATTTTCCTTTCAGAAGGTCTAATGCAATAGCCTCACTGAGCTCAGGGTGTCAGCAGATAGCATGTGCGTGGTGTGCGTGAAGAGCAGAGAAGGCCATTCAGTGCTGAGCTACATATTTCATAATTCCTTGTGTTAGAAAATCCATGACCCATAAAACACTTACCTAATTTGTGGGGTTTAAATAAAGCTGAGTGGTTCTCCTTTTTCAAGAACTGCTTTATAGCTATCTTCCTGTCAGAATTCCAATTATTCTATGACTCAGTTGGGTATGTGTCTAGCTTTTTAAAAATTCTTTTTTGGGGTACTTTTTTGGGTAAGAATGTAAAGAAGTTTTTCGAAGAAGTTTGTGAGTGAAAGGCTTATATAATGATACAGGATTGCATTAAATACATATACATTTTATTTCATTCTTTGAAATACTATGTTAAAAATTAAGCCTTACTTATAACTGTTTCTTTTGGTACATCTGAAAACATGCCAATTCATTCCGGCTGAGGGATTAGTTGCTATCTAAAGTATTCAGTATTTACCTTTCTCAGGCCTTTGGATTAAGACTCCTAGACAAGTTGTAGAATCAGACTGAAAATTTTATATCCATAAAAGATTCATTTTTCCTAAATTTTACAAAACCTGTGCATAGGCACAAGTTAGCAATTTAATCTGTAGCAGAGCCTGGCTGGAGGTTTACCTCATCAATGTCTGCCTTCTCCTGGGTAAAGAGAAAACTCTCATGCATGGCCCTCTCTCTCTCCTCCCAGTCTGCTCATGGGGGGCAAAGGACCCGGAGGTAGATGCAGAGCCCTGTACAGGGCACATGTGCCCCAAAATGAATGATCACTTGCCAGTCATACACATCTATGACTTTGAACTATGAAGAAGTGAGAAATAAATTGTAATTGTGCTAAATCACTGAGATTTTTGAGGGGTTTTGTTTGTTTTTATTTTAAACTGTAGCTCTTTGGGTGGCATCCATTTTCCTTTCCTCTCTCCTCTTCCCCTGACCCGCTCTCCTTCTTATTCCTGTTCTTTTTCACACAGTTAAGTCTTTTTGATATTATACCCAAATCAAACTGCCCTGAGTTAATTTGCATTAAAACTTCCACAGTGTTTAAATAATAGGAAGTGTCAGGAACGAAACAATTAATAGATTCCACTTTTTCTTTAAGCTTACAAGCTAAATATTGAAGATAATTTCATTAGCTGTTTGGATGGGTGACACTGGTCTAGTTCAAAGACTCTGTAAGAGTCTCATGGAAACAGTGACAGACAGACAAACATCGTTATCTTAGCACGAATGACCCAGCAGATGTGTACATGGCAAACCTCTTCTGAGGAAGAGGAAGCCAGTGTGTCTGAGTTTGAAAATCAGTCAGCCCCAGCGCCAGCCAGCTGTCCTCATTTCACTGCCCGGTGCACATGCGTGCGCCCTGAAGAACCATGTCAGGCTGTGACAGTGGCCTGGGAAAGTGTGAGGGCTATGTAGGACCCAGCGAGGCTTCCACAAACTGCTTCACAACAGCTTTTTAAAAAATTCTAAAATTCCAGTCTGATTTTGTATAAGCTGCTTTCTTAAGCTCCCTGCTCTTCACGTCTAGCTCTATGTTGGTGATTGTCAAGCTGGGCTCAGGGATCCCAGCTGGAGGATGCCTCAGGAAGTGAGCGCCAGGAACTCGGCCTGGATTTAAGCAGAAAGCTTCATTGGGTTCTGTTTCTGCAACCTGGGTTTCAACATAAACAGTGAGGAATAGGGCCAGTGAGATAGCTCAGCGGTCTAAAGTGCCTGCATAGGCAAGTTTGGGCAGGTGCAGGGGACCAGTTCTATCCCCCAAACCACATGCTGTGCCGCATGTGTCCCGCCCTTAGGACAGGCTGAGTCAACCAAAAAAACAAAAACAAAAACAAAAAGCAGTGAGGAAAACTCCTTGGCTTTGAGGGGTTATGAACTGTTGCTTTAAGTTTTCCCTGGACGCCACATCACTCTCAGAGTTTTAGTGTTAAAACCATGATGTCCCCAGCTCGCTACTTTTCTGAGCCTCCACTCAAGTCCCACTCATATGCCACCATCCCCACTTGCTTGATGTGTCATCCACACCCCCTGCAACACTCCTGAAATAAAGCACATCAACCGGCCTACTCTTCCTCCTTAATAAATGACTTCACCAGGCACTTGATTACTCAGCACAAAACTCCCAAGTCATCTTGACCCTTTTCTTCACTTTCTCCACATCCAATCAGTCATCTGGTCCCATAAAATATCCTTAATTGTCCCTTACATATGTCCTTCCTCTCCATCTTCACTGCCACTGCTGTGGCGTGGACCCTAGTCCGAATCCTCCATCTACACAACACAAGAGTCTCCTGCCCAGCTGCGTGATATCTCCAGACTACAGTAGAAATCGTAATAGTTAAAATTTGCAGTTAACAAATTGCTTTTATGCACATTATTGTGTTTAAACCTTATAACATTCCAGCAAGAAAATATTGTTGTTCTCCTTAATTTAGAAAAGGAAAATTGTTTTGTCTAAGGAATCTGAAATTTGGACGCAAATCCAATAAGTGTAACATTTATGCTGATGAGAGGAAGCCATACTGCCAACACGCATTGTTGCTGCCTGGGAGACAAAAGTCCAGACCTTTTAGCTGGGAAAATCCTCTTTATAATTGTGTCTCTGGAGCTTATGTGGTAGTTCATAATACAGCACTGGAGTTGGGACTCACATTCTAGTGTAAAACCTTGGATAAGCTACCTGGGCTCGCTGAAGTGCAATTTCTTAGGCTGGGAAGGGACGCCAACAGCAGCATGTATCATCAGAGTCACTGCATGGTTTAAACACAATTGAACAAGGACTACACTGTGCTTTTCCCAAGGAAAGTGTTTGGTGAATGTTGGTTGTTGCTGCCAACATTCCGTAGAACTTCCCGTCCCACTCATCCCGTTCCACTTCCTTTCCATCTCCTGTCCTTCAAGGGGACCACACCATTCTCTGCTTCCTTGTTTTCAAGCCAGGACTCCTAATTTGCGCGCGCACACACACACACACACACACACAGGAACACACACCATTTTGTGCTCACCTCTGTAGTTAGAAAGTGGGCAGATAATAGAGACCTTAATGGTAGCAGTGGAAACACCCTCAAGGCTGGTCAGTGAATCCCAGAGGGTATCTCTGCCCACAAGGTAACACTTGACTTGCCAAAGCTGGCTCCTGCTTTTGGATTTTCATGTCTTTGCCCTGCCTTCCCCATTCCCATCTCTGTGCCCTGATTGCAAATTTGTCCCCAGGGCATGCCCTTGCCGGATTTGTGAGCCTTCTTCATAGTGACAGCTGTCTGATCTTGCTCCAGACCAATGCCGTGTCCTTGGCTTAGGCTTTGGCGTCTTGTTCCCCTTCTGGCACCTTACATCTCTGTCTCCTGTCTGTAGCTTTTCTGGAACCTACAGCTTCCAGGACAGTGGTTCCAATAGGGCGACCGTAACTCTTACCATACTGTTTATGTTATGTTTGTATCTTTCTCATCCTTTAGACTGAACTCCTTCCAGCACTATATATTGGTAAGTTTTAAAATATTTGAATGTGTCTTTATTTATTCTATTTTAATCTATATGTTTCCAAGGTTAACTGTGCTTCATACCAAAATATTTGTCAACATCAATCCTCTCTTGCATGTAAACTTCTTGAAGGAAGCAGGCATATCTGTGTTTTCTTGGGTCACCTGTGGAGCAAACTTACGCTAAGTGTGTGGCATGATTAAAAATACAGTGAGGGCTGCTGCCATGTGCCATCCAACAGAAAGGAGGGGGTCTTCAGTATTGGAAGAATGCATCAAATTCAATGAAGGTATGTGACAAGTTTCAGCTTGTTTGGTACAGTCAACTGGTTATGAGCTATGGTTGAGAGGAGGGTGGGTTTTTTTGTTATTTACATGAAGTTTAATTTAACTCTTAAAAATGCAATGTTCATTTTAAGATCTAGAATCTCTCCTTTAGAGAATGTATGTTTTAAACTGTGCTATAAATCATGGATCACAAACTGCATTGTGGGAGTTGTGTGATCTTGCCACTTCCAGTTTCAGCTTTTTCAGTAATGTCATGGGGGATGAAACTTGAGTCTATGATTATACTCTTGAGACCAAGATTCAGGGTTTCAATGGAAATCACCCAGTTTTTTTTTTTTAATCAAAAAAAGCATATCAGTCAAGATGCAACATCAAATTAATGTTGATTGTGTTTTTGGATCTTGGTGGAATTGTGCCAACTGAGTTTGTATCCAAGAATTGTATAAGGACCTCTGAATATTAAAAGGGCCTGTGAGAGAGTTTATGTAGAAAATAGCTGGAAAAATAGGCAAATATTTTCATCCATCATGACAATGCTCCCTGTCATACATTACTTCTGGTACTGCAATTTCTGTCAAATAAGAACATTACTGTATTTCCCCATTCACCTTAATCACTGGGTCTGGCACTGGGCAACTTCTGGCTCTTCCAGAAGTCAAAATGCCCATGAAAGGTAAACTGAAATGAATCAGGCATTGAAGGCAGCCCTGGACACACAACTAAGGCCACATTTTCTAGAACTGCTTCAGAAAGTGGCAAGAAAAGGGGATAGGTATGTTCAAAGCCAGGAGGACTATTTTGAGAGTGATAATGGCAGTACTTTTTTACTGCAATACATTGAAAATGTACAAATATTCACCATTTGTATTATATCACCTTTATGCTAAAATAGCACTTAAATGGAAATACACAGAAATTTTGCAGTTCTAAGTGAAGCACATTTTTATCTGATTCACCTAGCATGACTGCCATTGGATGCACCTTTCTTTTATCGGGCCTTAATTATTTTAATCTATGAAGCAACAGTGGTATCTAGGTGACCACTAAGTCCATCTGTGGTGTATGGTTCTGAGATATAGTTAGAATCCCTGGTGCCTCTTCTTCTCAGAACTGACAGACAAAAACTCTAAAAATGTATTGTTTTATTTTTAAAAAGCAGACTTGAAAATTATTTGAAGGCTTTAGGTAAATGTAAAGTAAGGCAACCATGAAATCAATGTTTGCCTGCCTGTCATCTAGAAACATCTATTTTAGGGGAATGCACATTACGCCAACAGTGGGATACCAGCCACTGCCTCATGAGATGAATGATTATTCCTGATGCCGAGAGGCAGAATTGGATCACCATTAGCGAGGAGGCAATTTTGTACAGGCTTTATGGGAGGCACTTTGACAACATCACAGACTTAATGGATCTTTTAAAAATATATATAACCTCTGAGCTCGTCTAAGATAGTCTCCTAAAGATATAATTGGGAACAGTTCATTAGCAAAGTTGTACCTAACTGATAGTTCTTTACTGCATTTAGATTAGATGAGAAAAGAAATTCATTAAACATTTGTGGGTGGAATGAAATACTGTACCATTTCCCAAACAAGTGACAATGGATATTTTTGGCTATATTGTTGGTTACTGCTCTCTAAATGTTGTGTGGCTGGGCACACAATGGGGAAGAAACTCCAAATGACTCCTTCGGGAAGCTCAGTCTTGCAGCTGAAAGCCTTGATGCAGGACAGAGAACCACTTTCTTTTTCTCCTCCCCAACTCCATTATTGAACAAACTACAGGAAACGGAACATCCTGCGATCTGAGGCAGAGGTCTGAGTGCATGGGGGAAAAGTAGGGGAGATGTCGAAAAGCATAAAGGTAGAAGAAGCTAGAATGGAGGTCAAGGCGGAGCTGCTCCAAACCTCCAAACTTTGTGGGCTGATGGAAGAAGACGCAAAGGACACCGGGTAAGAAAGCGCTGTCTTGCGCCACCTTCTGCTCTACATGTGTAAGTGAACCAACTAGAAACACGTTTCTTTTTCTAGACATTTTTATTAGTACATATTTGCGGCACATAATGATTACTTTGATCGTGCGGAGTTGATACCAAACGGTTAAGATGTAGTAACCATAGTAATCCCACGCAGCTTGTCCTACAACAGGAAATAGGGGTGATCACATTATACGATGAATGTTTAAATATTTAAAAAAGTATTACAGTTCAAGACGTTTAGCCCGTCATTCTTATCACTTTCTAAAGCACTCTGGAAGTCCTACTGTAAGTGGTTTTATGAAGTATCACTTAAAAAGTGTGATGAGTGCCGACCAACGATAGAGCAAGCTTATAAAAAGCAGCACAAAGGCCAGCCAGATAGTTCAGAGGACTAAAGCATCTGCTTAGGCAGGCACCGGGGCTGGGGTTCGATCCCTGGCATGCCAAGTCGGCCCCGCCCCTGGGGTTAGCTGAGATGGCAACTGAGAGTGGGCCTGGTGATGCGTGCCTGTAATCCCAGCACTTGTAAGGCTGAAAATAGGAGGATTACTAGTGTTATAACCTGTGCAATTGATTCCAATTTTGTAACTCCATATGTTTCCACTATAACTTTATTAACAAGGACTCTTTGGAATAAGCTGACAACTTAAACTCCATCTTGTAACAAACTTTGTAACTTCCGTTTTTTTAAACCTTGATTTGTTTTGTAACCCCCCCACCCATGCCTTCCCTGAAGAATGTGACTGTTAGTACAAATAAAAAAGTGTTTTTCAGCATTCCGAGAGAAGATAAGAAATGTTCCTCAACATTCTACAAAATGAGTTAAACTGTCCTTCCTACGGGAACAAACAGATCGCTTGAAAATGGGTGGAACTGTCATCAGATGTCCTTCCGACTACCGGAACAAAAACAACGCCTAAACCAAATAAAGACATATTCCTGTAGGGTTTGCAAAATGTGCCCTCGTCTATGAGAACAAAGAGTTTACCCTCGGCCATGACTAACTCAAAATAAGCTTTGTAAAAT